CGCGGAATATATTCCGTGCGTCTTACAGCCGCGGACGTGCCAGGAACTCGAGGACGATAATCGCCGACGGATCTCGGTGACGTTTCCAGCGGTCGGTGCAGGATATGCGGCTACGGATGCAATGTCCAGCTCGAGAGCACGGTTTGACGAAGATGAACGTGCGGACCAAACGGCTGAGACCGAGAAACCTCGGCGTCGAAGAAGGCGAGCAGGAACGAGCAGGAAGTGAGAGAGACAGCGTACGTGAACACGAGAGGGAGAGATAGTGGACGAAAACGGGGGGGGGGTGGAGGGCGAAAGTTTGCGGAAGGACGAGGGTGTTGCGTGTTCGTCGGGGGAACGAGGGGAAAATGACCGGGGTAAGGGCAAGAGGGGTGAGCAGTCGTGTGCAGGTGCACAGGAGAGAGAATCCGCGTACGGGCGGGTGAGTTGTGCGTACCAATCGGCGGGTGCAGAGTACGTCCGCAGGCACGCAGGAGGAGGTGAAAACCGGGCACAGCCCCAGGAGCGCGGCGGGGGCTTTCGCCATACGGGGCAAAACCGCCCCACGCCGGACCCGGGAACCGGCGCGCGTCTGGTTGCGCTGGGTGGCGGGTGCACTATCGGGTGGCGCGCGAAAAGGGGGTTCAACTCGACTCGGTGCGCCGAGAGCACGGCTGAGCGAGAGAGAGATAGATGGAGACGGAGAGAGGGTGGTTCGCGGGAGAGGAGAGACGGAGGACGCGTCGGTCAGGGGAAGAGGGGAGAACGGAGGGAGACGAACGAAGGTAGAGTGTGGGAGGGAAGGTTGAAGAGCAACGGGGGTGACGGCGGTGGTTCTCGGGTGGTGCCGGTAGTGGAGGGTAAACGGAGCGAAGGCGGCGGCGGTGGTGGCGGCGGCGACGGCGGCGGTAGCGGTGAACATAAAATCCCTCGCACATGCCTGGTGCATTCATTAGGGGGGATGTGCCCGTGCAGCGCGTACACGTCGACCTGCATCCACGCCACCCTCTCGCGTTCTCTCGGTGCCACCCCTGGCCTCAGTCGCGCTCCGCGGCCAACTTAGTGCACACGCCACTCCGTTGGTCCTCCCTAACGGACTCACTCGCCGCTGCTTCTCGCTGCGCCGTGACCGTTCCTGTCGTCGCCGAAGGATTGCATCGTCGCGCGCGCGTCAACCACTTTTGATCATCCGCGACGAACGAGTTCCCGCGTCACGATCGCATCTTTTGTGATCCGCTTGTAACGTGCGATCCGCTGCGTCACGCATCCCGTTCCCGAATCTTGATCTGTCGCCGATCGTGGATCGTGCGCGCGAAACGACAGACGATGGCCGAAACGAGCTGAGAGAATTCCGCACGCGTATCGAGAGAGTACAGGTACGAGGACGAGTGCGAGTTTTGTCTGCGATTCGAGTGCGCGAAAGTAAATACACACATCGCGGAAGAGATCCGGCTTGCGATCCGGCTTCCGGCGGAGACGCAAGCGGAAGAAGAGCCTTCCTCGTCGTCCCAGCGGAAGATCGTCTGCGGAAGATCGTCCATCCGTCCCTCAGCAGCGACGCCCGAAAAGTATCCACGTACGACGACGGCACGGTACTACACGCCGCCGGAGGCTGCCCGGAGGGAAGCCGACGGGAGATTTCATGTTCACGAATTTCAGTAAACCAGGTAACGATACGCCCGAGACCAGCCGACGATGTCAAGCTGCACGGAATCGGCGCGTGTCGGCATCGCAATTTAATCCTCGCCGTGGCGAGACGCGCCGCTGCGCGTCGTATGCTGTTTATCACGAAGGATATCGGAAAAGGGCGGGAACGCCGCGACCTCGCGAGAGGGTTTTATCGATCGCGCGATCGACGGCACGCGCATTTCCGTCGTCCGTCGTTCTCCCGCGGCAGCGGAAGGTGGGCGGGAAATCGGACGGTAGGACGACGAAGATACCGTCGCACGTCACGACGCGACGTCGCACCACATCATTCGGCTTCGCCCGAAATTGCTTGCCACGAAGCGTCGTCGCTCGCAGCTCGTTTTTCCCCTCGCTAGCTCGGGGATTGAGAGGCGCTGCGAATAAATTTACATGAACGAGAGACGGTATGCGTTTACCGTAACACATTTTCCGGACAACGCTCGTCCGGACGCGCAAAATAAACAGAATCGGCCGCTTGGCGAGCACGCGGACGTGATCAATTTGACGTGATCGGAAAATTCGGCGAGACGTGATCGCCGACTCGAGAAGCACCGTTGGGAAAAATAACTAGCTGAGAAAGTAATACTGAGAATCGAGAAAAAGGAGCGACGAGAATTTTTCGCGTTCGCGTTTATTATTAAATATCGGCAAATGATCGCTAAACATTAATTATTATTCTGGATAACGATACGTTCCATATACAATTATCGCTTTGATGTCAACCGAGATAGTAGCAGACTCATTGATGAGAAATATACGCTATAGCGTAGGCGTATTTCGCGTTTACTAAGTGAATCGCGGAAGTTGCTTGCAGGCAGGTGCGAGGATACAATTATTTGCGGTGAAATCGCGCGGTCGGATTTGAATTTCCATATTTTCGCTATTCGTTCGCGCGAGTATTATTACTCGCCCGCAGTAAAAGGTGCATGGGTATTTCCGATGAAATATGCCGCACTTTCGAGGAACGTGCCTCGCGTGGTGGCCTTATCTCGCGTTCTCGTTCGCGTATTTTCGCTTTCTCGTTCGAGTCAAAACGATTGATAAAGTAGAATTTTACCTAGCGATAGGCCACAATCGTTGAAAAATTTAATATCTCTAAATTTTGTTTCCGCGTCTACACACCTCGGTATAGATATTCCGGGTGAAATATATCACACTTTTGAGATACGTGTTCTTAGGAATAATTTATTTTGTCATTTACGATTTAAAGAAAGGAAAAATTAATAAAAAAAATGGTTGATGATATAAGAATGATAATAAGATATAGACCAAAAGGTTTATGATGTAATATCGTGTTAGTTGTTTCGAAGAATCTATGAGAAGATAAAATATCCGTTCTGTAAGTATATATATATAAAAAGAAGAGTATTATCAGAAATGTGTATATTTTATTATTTCAAAAAATATTAATGCACGTAGAAATTGACGTTTTCAGTGTAACGGCCAAACGTAGAGACTGTCAAAAAGTAAAATATTGATCGAACGTTTACTTAATTTTACCATTGTAGACGGCTTTTAATTCGAGCAACGAGAATTAGTGTCTCTCTCTCTTTCGGCGGAAAGTACAATATTTGACGATCGAGATCGGCGGGAGAGATATCGTCATCGATCCATCGCGATTAATTTCTGCGCGGATCGCGGCGATAGCCGCACGATTCATAGCGCGTTAATTACGGATGCAGCGGGCCGTTTCGAATGCTAACCGACTAATTCCGGTCTCGTATTTCAGCGTTAGCCGCATTTTTCCCGTCGCATCCGTGACGGCGGGCGACTATACGCGGCACGTAAAACACACACGCACGCACGCACGCACGCACGCAACACGCACGCACACATACACACATACACACACGCGCGCGCGCGCGCATGTAGTTAGAGCCGCATGGCTCTATATCGAGCTTAATTTTTAATCTGCCGCGTAGCGCCGTCGAGAAATAATCCGCCACTTATTATGCAAATTTAATCGTGCGTTTATCGCGAAACGCGCTAATCGCAGATAACTTTCCCGCTTAACTTGAACCGTTGCGGCGTGCGTTCGTTCCCTTTTTATTTCCGGCGCGACAAAGAGCGTTCCGGGCCGCTTTGTTTTCCCGACGGCGGATACGCCCGCGTTTAATCCCCCACTGCGATGCTTCTCGACGCGACCATTATGTCGTCGCCGTCGTGGTTGTGGTATCGCGCGGCGGTTACTTCTAAGTTCAGACACCGATTCAGATCGCGGCAGCTCGCTGCCAAACATATCCATTCAATCATCATCGAGGTAAGGGAAAGAGTCACCACGCTCGATCCTTCGCGATTCAACTTTTGATCTTTCTTTCGGCGAGGAACAAGATTGGATGTGCGAGGAGATTTTCCATGCGAGAGAAAACGAGTAAAAGGAGGAAAAGAGGAAAGGAAGAAAAGAGGAAAGTGTAGGAGACGGAAAAATTAACAGAACCAAAACCGACTTGGAATCTCTTATTCACTTAGTCTGCATGATGGCGCCTCTCTGATAACTAACTCCTTGCATCCCCAATTTCCTACTAATTGGCTCCTATTTTCCCTTATTTCTGACAAAAGAATTCCTCTAATATCAGCTTGTTCTCGCGCAAGTTGGTCTAAAGACGTCGGGAAAATCACTCGGAGATTCTGGGTCGGATCCGAGGAGCGGATACCTCGCGAAACGAGTCGAGTAACTCTTCGTGATGGTTCCCACTCCGAGAGACGGGTACTCCCCGGGTGAGCTTAGTTCTCCAAAGTTTTCCGACTCCCATCACCTTCTCGAGGGCAGTTACTCGGGACGTTTCAAAGCGTTTCTATTATTCGGTGCGCCACTCAGTCTCCCGAGTCATTCAAGAAAAGATATTTCGGAGCGGGCTTACTCTCCGAGTAAGTACGTGTTCGCTGCGGAATCGAAGCGTATTTCGGAACGGCGCGAGTGGAACATCGTGATTTTAACATGACGCGTACAAGTAGCATACGACGACGGCGTTTCGTTTTCACGGGAGGAGGAACGTCGGGGGTTTGCGTTTGAAGATACTCAAAGCGCGTTCCCGGCGCAACCCGCCCTTCACCCCGCGGCCGCACTTCGACTGCATTGTGATCGGGAAAATGCATGCCCGAGTGCAGCGGCGCGTCCTTTATCGACGCGGGCGTTCTACATAGAGCTTTTTCCGAACATTTCCACGTTATCGCTCGTTGTTTGCGTCACGGACTCGAACTTCCGATTCCTAATCGATTCGCGCGTCGAGCGGGAATCTCCAAGTGAAAAGGAGACACGCCTGAAGTCTTTACTATTTCGCGTTTACAACTACTACGAGGCACGACTGGAGAAAAACGCAAAAAGGAAAAGAGAAAAAAAAAAAGAAATCGAATAGCTTCTATTTTTCTATTTGCACATTGCCGCTCAGAGCGGAAGTCTATTTTTTCATACCTCGCGAACTGTACTTTGCTCAAGAAGGAACCGAAAGAGTCGGTCAAGCAATCGGGAATATGAAAAACGGGAACACGATCGATTTACCAGCGAGATCGAGAAAGCGCGCGTATGCGAAAATCCACGCGCGAAGATCTACGCGCCGAAGATCAACTAGAGGAACACGTCCGGAAGATAAACGCGCCGATGCGCTGCAAACTTTGTGCCGGAAACGGCTTTACCCGGCGTATGATTCGCCACGGCTGCGGCGCATCGATCGCCGATGCATTTCGACGGCTCGGACACGTTTCCGGCGTCGAAGGGCCAAGGTCGACTTCACTTAATCGCGGGATGGACGATCACGGCAATGCCCGTCGACGTCTCACCGGCACGCAGGACATTCGCAGGTCTGTGTTTTCCAGAAAATAGTAAACACTTTTTCTTATCACCACGAGAGAAATGAGGCGAGGATGTATTAGTTAGATTAAGTAAATAACGATACGTTGTATACTTATTAAGTTAGGCAGGCCGAGAAGGATTGTGCAGATTGAAAAGAATAGGATGGAAGGAAGGATAGAATTTCTGGACATGATACTTTGTAATAAATTTGGACCCGATACTAAGCAGAGATTATTTTAAGAAGTTCTTCAAGTCACTCGATTCTTGGATAACTTCCGCTACCTTGCGCTAGTTATCGGAAAATATGAACGAGATGATACTTGTCTATCGTTGAATATCGCATTGTCTCGGCGGATTGCTCGTTAGAGAGCGGGCTGCACGCGGATTCGCTTAATGAAGAAGCGTACGGCACGGTAGAGCTAATTATGTAGTCCTTCTTCTCGAAAGTTCGTACGTTGTTATTAAGACGAAAACCAAAGAGAATCTTTCTATCAGAGTGTGTCTTCAGCGCGCGGCTTTGGTTTAGTTTAATAAACGTAGACGGAGGGAACTGGTGCGACGTGTAATTAAACGGTCGCTCGTAATCGGGCTTATACTCGAGGTAATTACTCGCCGTCGGATTCCGTCGACTTACACATATTAAAACAGACCTCGTGCCTCAATTTCTAAACTATCCCCTGATGAGTAATAGTCATAATAATTTTATAATCGCATAAGATCCTGTGCATAATAATCACAGTCACATCAATGTCGTCCCTCGAATGCCGAATTTCTTTTTAACCATAACGACATCCCCCCTTTTCTATTATTCCCTTTCTTCGTCGTTAAGTTAGAATCGAGTGCTCGCTTAGGAATCGTTGGAAGTTTCCCGGAAACGGACGACGTTTCCACCAATATAACGCTGACACGCTGCAGTTTAAATTGTTACTCGAGAACCAGATATATAGTTTTGTACATGTCGCGTGTACGTACGCATGCATATACACATACCGAGTGTGTCCCAGGAGCTCTTTAAACGTGATATTATTCAGTATCTTTCGGGCCGAGCGAGTAAACGAAGATACAGCTTTTGCGCGCGCATTTCCATATATACCCGACGATTAATATCTCATTTAAGGGAAAACGGGAAATTACGACGCGAAACCGGGTACAATTAGGACATGTCCGTGATTGCGAAATGAATTCCGTCCCGGTCAGGCCGGCTACCGAGAGCTGGTGCTGCTGCATTTCGAAATGTAACGGAAACGCGAAATCGAATTTAAACGACAGATATTGCGCCGCGCGCTGCGACAATTTCATCGCGGATGCGATTAATTAGGCGTTTTTCAAGCCGCATTACGCGATATCGCTCCGCTAAAAACGGGAACGCGAGGGGAAAAAAAAGGATACGGGAATATTGAATATTCTGCGTTTACATCGCGTTTATCGCATCACCGTTTTGATGTACGGGCGCATTTTATGTATCGCATTTCTATCTTTGAGCGGGATATATGCCTGTGAAACATAATTTCCAACGATGCCGATGAAAGCGCGGATTAAATCTGTTAACAGCCGCTCGAAGCTTGTAAATCCGCGTTGGAAACCTCGGTCGAGGAGATTTTCCAATTTTCCCCGGTACCTATTGATTTCGCGTGGGGGTAACACGATTATCGTTCCGCGAGAGGACGTGGGGGGAGGGGGGAAAGCCAAATTAATATCAGAAACTCTCCGCGATTTGCGCGAATTATCATTCATTATCGCCAAATGAAGCTAAAGGGGGGGCTCTCTTCGTGCGCGTGCATCGTAATGTGATCCGCGAAATACCTTTAAAATACCTTTGGGAAACGTATACACGATTTCATTCCGTATTTCTCCTCTGTCGTATCGAGCATGAGCTATGCTTTTTCAGCAATTTACGACGACGAGTGGGAAGAATGGAGGGAGAATATAAAGTCGAGACGCGCGCGCGTATGATTTTTCCTCGCGCGCTGTTAAGCTTCACGTTTAACCAAATGGATGAAAACTGTGAGAATATCCTTTTTACGCATTGTATCTCGGTCGCCTGGTATTTAAACGAGCCGCATTCTCGAAAGTCTCGCGATTTTAATCCGCGTTTTCAGCTATGACATTCGTTCGTTGTACATCGGCGAGAAAAACGAGGCAAAAAGTAACAGTCGGTGATTCTTTTTCTTGTCTTTAATTCTGTCTAACTACGCGTATACACGAAACGTTCTTCGTATATGTCGTTAAACGAGTAGGTAGATAAAAGGACGTAAGGCATATTGCGAAATCTTGCGAAGGACGACTAGTTCTAGAGACTAGTTTTGGAGAAGAGAAGATGTACATTGTGAAATTGTAGCGATAGTCCCACGATAACAATATATTTCGCCACCTAGATTTTAAATCCCTTACAATTATTAATACAAAACGGTGCAAATTATTTTAATAATAATAATAATTTATATAAATGTTTTAAAATTATTCCTATTATTCTTAGCCCAGTCTTTTGTCTTCTCTCTTCTCAATTCAATTTAAAGTAAAAGAAAAAGATATAATATGTGAAGAGAAGTATTGATTGTTTGAAATATAGATTTAAAAATTGTAATGTTATTAAGGATACATCATGATTTAAAACAGAGCAAGTTTTTAAAGTAATTAAAAAGGGTTGATTTAATTTCTTTTTTTCATACCAATTATATCTCAATGTACATCTAACTTTGTCTCGCACACCAAGTTCCTTAATGAGCATACGCGTTAAATTGAATGCCGGACCGTGGTGAGAGAAATAGATGAAATTAAGTTACTATATCGAGGAGGCCGCCTGAAAATGCACCAACTCCGTTTTCGAATGCAACAACCGCTTTATTTACTCTTCGGATTGCGCGTTATTGATGTTCCGTTGTTTGGGAAATTACATTATAATTATCATTAACATTATCAACAAATTATCATTCAGTTCATAAACAGTCAATGAGATAATGATGTCTATTTTAATGGAATCATTTCATTCTAATGTATAATCGTTCATCATTTATCGTTCAATCATGTGTTAATAGAAAATGTTAATTATTTTCCACAAATGATGACATTTGTTATTATATAAAAAATTTTTGACAAATTTAAAACAAAGATAGATGTTTGGTTTATCATCAAATAATGATTATTTATGATAATGTAAGTCTCCCGCAGATTCACTGCAGTTATCTTGAATTATGACAAGCGAATATCACAAGCGAGAAAAGATATGATAAAAATTCTTGTAAAATACATTAAAATAGAAATATTTTTTACAAAATAACACTTGCAACAAAACAGACTTGTAATACCGAATACTCTCGTTTTCTCTACTAATCAATAAATAATTATATATTTAGAATTGAATTTTCTGCTTTTGAGTAGATCTTACTCGTACAATTTATTTCTAGATATATGATTACTTATTAATTAGCGGAACAAAACGAGGTATACATTTTACAAGTTTGTTCTATCAAATACAAATTATTTAAAAAAAAAATTTTTATTTTGCATGTATTTTGCAAGAATTTTTATTATGTATTTTTTCACATCTGACATAATAATCCAAGGTGGCTACGTTGAGTCAGCAGGAGCATTAATATTTTTTTATTAAAGAAAAAACTTATAATTACGTCACATTATTGAATTGTTACATATGTACAATTGTTGAATTGTACATTGTAACTCGTAAGATTTAATATTTCAACGCGTATGCATCTCTTTAATTCGTTTTATCTGAAAGAGAATCGATGATTCAACGGCAAAGGCGAGAAATAATCCGGCAGCAGATCTCGACAGCGTTTGAATAGTGCACGTTCGCGCGCCATATCGCGCGGCTGACGCAACGAAAGCATGCGTTATTTGGAAAATAAGAAGGCCGGTATACAGATCGATATGGCGGCGAGCGCCGCACGAATTCTGTATATTCGAGGGCGATACATTTCGTGCGGGACACGCCGCGTTATCGCCGCGCACCGGCGGCCGCGGTATTCCCGCACGCAGTCGGAAAGAAGACGCGGCGTTCGCTCAATCGCGTTTGAATCCGAGCGCCCTTCGCGCCATTCCCCGCGCGGCAGATGCACGAAGGTCAAAAGTATTTTAAAAATAAGGCCGTAGGCATTGGCAGATCGGTATGGCAGTGGACGTTAAGGGTCGGGTGGCGTTGTAATGGCAAAAAGTTTGCGAGAGGTGAGTAATCGACGCGCAGATTCGCGAGGAAGGGTATCTCTCGTGGTGAGTGACGGTTAGCACGCGTAATCCGCGTAGGATCCGTGGTAAATAAAGCGGTGCGTATAGCTCGTACGAGTGGCTAGAAAATCGGGCATCAACAAATCGCGTTTTCGCGAGGAGGCTCGTACGGAGGCTAGACGAGAGCACACGACCGACAATGGCGCCCAAGCATCGCGAATATTGACATTGCCAAAAACATCACCTCCGAATACATCGGATTATTATCGTGTACGTGGGTGGCACACGTACTGCGTCGCAATTAGCGGTCTAACCTCGCGGACGGCCCGTGCCCGTGGCCCATCGCCCGTAGAAATCCGGCGCGGGTTAGTTCGGTCGCTCGCGCGCGCGCTAAGGTTATGCGAAAAAATGTTTTCTGCACGTATAGTAGCGCGGCGTGAACCCTGAAGGGTTTTACAGTTATACTGCAATGTGGCACATTTGCAGAAGCGCGGAGGACGTTGTGTGGGTCTAGAGAGCCGCGATTTAATCTGCGGGGAGATATTGTCAGGACGCGTTAGGAGAGTGCGCGTGGAGAAAGTGTGTGAGTTGCGAGTTTTTTTTAAGGGTTAGGGAGAGTCATTTGGTAGCCAGGGTGAGCATACCTTTATGTAGACAGTTCAGGGCAACTAGTTTGGTTGTAGGGTCGGGATTGGAGATAGACAAGATGGACCAGCAGTATTGTCTACGGTGGAACAATCATCCAGCCAACCTCACAGACGTTCTCAGCTCCCTGTTGGCCAGAGAGGCACTCTGTGACGTGACCCTGGCCTGTGTCGGAGAGACCTTCAAGGCGCACCAGGACCAGTACTATCTGCATGCAGTCCGTATTTCGAGAGCATTTTCCTACAAAATACCCATCCCCATCCAATAATATTCCTCAAGGATGTCAATGAGACGGAAATGAAGGCATTGCTGCACTTTATGTATAAGGGCGAAGTCAATGTTAGTCAGCATCTGCTGCCCATGTTCCTTAAAACTGCGGAGGCATTGCAGATCAGAGGCCTCACCGATAATAGTGTAAATAACAAGACAGAGGAGAAGAGCCCATCACCAGAGCTAGAAACGCAAACTGGAATCAGACATAGCGATTCGCCTAACCTCCAGTCCCATCCTGAGAAAAGGAAAAGAAAGCATTCGGGCAGCTATGATGTTTCTCTTTCTGGTCCACCTAGTGAAAGATTCTTGTCTGATTCTCAGGTATGTTGACATTCCATTGATTACCTTTTTTTTTTATAATTGTATCGCCAAGTAGGTGGCATACATATCCAACTTGTAACATATGTACATTTCATCATGACTTGTGCATGTGTCAGTATTGTATCTTAAAGCTTAATAAAAACAATATACAGAAATGAACGACACATTTAATTTAAAAGTTTATGGGAACATAATTTTTTATGTGAGTATTTTGAAATACCTTTTTTACTTTAATATAATTTTTTATATCTTACAATTTTTATATCTTAAATTTTTACTTATAACTTTATGAAGTAATCTACAGCATTTATGAAAAAAATGTTATTTCCACAAATAAATTTATACATAAATGCTGATTTCTGTTTATGCATCAATAGAGTGTTACTGCTTAAAATTCTCTTTTATGTATTTCATACATTGTTATCAAAGATACATATACATACACATGTATATGTGATTGCACAGCTTTCCAAACTTTACTTGTAACCTTGGAGAGTTTAGGCCAAATGCTATTACTGGCTATATAATTCATAAAGCAGATATTATCATAAAATGCTTTCTATTCCTTCTCATATGTTTTGATATATAAAAATCATACATTTAGAAAGAAATATAATCTGTTTTTAAAACAGATTATTTGTTCAGTTTGACTACAAGTACATAACACTATAAAGTATTTATTTTTTAACTAAAAACTTGTTGATTTATAAAGATAAATTTATTTCTAAGCAAGAGAAATAATTTATTGATTTTATTTCTTTATAAGAAAAAAATAATTTTTGAGACTAAATCCTGATAAACATGTTGAAGCAAAAAATGTAAGAGATTTAGAGAAAATTTTTGATCGACTGTTTTCAGACATCCTCGCAGTGTAGTTACAAATCAAGTCCTCCTGTGATTCCAAAGTTAAATAATGCCCTGGGAGTTGAGATGGAAGATGGTGGTCGACCTATGTCCCCTGCTTCACAACCGCAGGCTCCTATAAAACAAGAGGTGGATCACCACTTGCCCGACTTCCATGACAATATTTCCCTCCCCGTAAGTAATTTTCGACGTTTATGCATTTCATATTTCAATCATTTATTTTTTTTTTAATGGCTTGCATGCATAATCTGACACATGTGTATTCATATTTCTTTCAATTTAAGAGTATATTTGTTAAATAATGCAAAATACTAACTTTAATTAAATCTTCTAACTCTGCACGATTTATGTTATTGCATGCAACAAAATATATGTGTATTTAATTTTTCTTACTGAGCTGATTGTGTAAATATCTGAATTTATCTGAAAATATCATTGATGCAATTGAAGGAAATGTATTATTTCCTGATACACATTTATCATGATTGCATAAAAGATAAAAATGATAAGACTATATTTATGTTCTTGTTCTTTATCTAAAGTCACATAGACTACATGAATAAAAAGCATGTGAAGAGTTTTACTGTTTGACATCTTAAATTACGTTTTGTCTTTAAGTTAATAGGTTTAAAGAAATTATTATAATTATAATTGCATTATTAGTTGACTCATTAAATCTACAAAATAATTTTTTAAGAGTATTAATATGTTAATTATTTAAAAAAAAATTCAAATTAAAAAATGCACATATAAAATTGTTTAAGTGTACTGTATAATGTGTGATGTACATATAACAGCAGCCTGGCATTATTCAAGGCATTATCTCGCAGCATGTAACTCTGATTTTGTTTGTTCGTTAAGATATTTTTACTTTATGTTCGCATTTTTATACTTCTTTTCACTTAAAACGCTTTGCACATTCGTGAATGAGGTGCAAAGTTCTCGTGATATCGTGAAGATAATTGTCCTTATAACGGAGTTTCGTTACTGTTCCCACGATTGATGACGATTACTTACAGTCATCCTACAACTACTCAGTCGAAACAAACATGGGAAGGAAGGGATTCTCTAATTAGAGATTACAGAATTGGCTTTTTCTGCTAAAAAAGAAAAATCGATCGAGATGTGTTGATTAAACACATATCCTTTCCTTCTCTGTTGACAGACTAGTTTGGAGTGGGAAGTTCAAAGAGATGGGAAGAGTGACGAAACTATGGATGTACAGAACATGACTTCAAACCGTCCAGATTCGGCTGTGATGCAAGTTTCTCGCGAAAGTGCCATCATGGCTGGAGGTTCTCTCTGTGTCGATATGTCGGGAACTACATCCGAATTCTCCGGAAATTCGCATGATCCGCTAAGTCAAGCCATACCCATAAACTTGCACCATCCATATAAAAGCAATAGCACTGACCAAACACAGTCTTACGAGTCATTGTCCGAATACAATTCTAATGTTAAACCGCTTGAGAATAATATGCACAGACCGTTACGAATAAGTCAGGAACCAGGAATGTCCGTAATTCAATCGACGATGTGTGCGAACTTGCAGCGTTCTACTCCGCAAAGTAGAAAACTCGGTAGATTCAAACCCGGATGGTTAGACATGTATTCCTGGCTACAATACGACGAACGATCGAATCTTATGTTTTGCAAATATTGTAGAAAGTGGAGCGAGTCCATACCAGAAATTCGCACTTCGTTCGCGGCGGGAAATGGCAATTTCAGACTTGAGATTGTGAACCACCACGATAAGTGTAAAGCACACAACTTATGTGTGGCAAAAGAAAGCGAGGCAAAAAAAAGTTATTCTTACGCAACAAAAACATGTTAACCTCCATGTATCGTTATGTCTTAGTTGTGCCTATTTACTTCGTGATTAAAGTTTCGCTCAATTGATATTTAAATGAATTTATTTGTAAATATAATATTCATCACAATATTATGAGATGCACATTTTAATGAATTCTTTATTGAATGTTGAATTAATCTAATTAATCCAAAAGTTTAAGTAAACTTGTAACTATTTTGTTACGTAATATAAAATTTGAACCGAAAAGAATTTGTTTACAAATGCATTATCTAATTGATTAGATATTTTTTTGAATAATATATTTAACTTAGATATTGACTTGACATATTTAATAGTGGTTTTATTTCATCAATATTACAAATAAATTTACATTTAAAAAGTTTAATATCGCGGAAACAAAATTCTTTAAAGAAGTTGATGTAAAGTGAAGTTGAAACAATTTATGTACAATATATTATGTTATTGTTAAAATGACACAAAATATATAAATACATATACATAAAACATTAATATTTTCATAAATATTTTATGATAAAATACAATAAAAATATTCAAATATTTTGCCATAACGTGTATACATATAAACACATACACATACACACTGACGCGCGCACGCGCGCGCGCGCATACACATTTCTTGCGATCTATGATATATAATTAAACAATTGTACATTTAGATAGTATGTAAAGATGTCAAGT